CCCAGGTGATGCCCACGCTCCCTGTCCAGGCCGCTGGCCAGGCCTGGCGTTCCCTGAAGTCACACACCCCCCCCAGCTTCGAGATGGAGCGTGCGTGTGGCCCACGGGAGGCCTTTGCTGCAAGCTCCTCTGGGCACGCGAGCTCCCACAGGCAGGCGGAGCACCCCGTCACTGGGGCCGCACAGAGAGCCGCCTCCACCCCCGGTGGCGGCGCTCCTGTCACAAAGTTGCCATCTTCCTGCCACCCCAGGGAAGCAGCACAGCTTTCTCAGAGGCCTCTCGGAGTCGGCTCTCGGCACCTCCTGGCACCAGGAACCCCAGGCAAGGTCGTTCGGGGGGCACAAGCATCAGGCGTTGCAGTGCCCTCTCTGTCTTCCTTTTCGACTTTGTCTATCAAGAGCCACGCCTGCGTGAGGCCAGCAACGTGAGGAGTTGAGCCGTTATCAGGTGCACAGGACCGACGTGGACGGTGGAGTGGACTTGCCTGTTGGCTGTCAGGTCCTGTACAGACAGGTTTCTGCCTTTGTTCCCTTCCTGGCCAAGCCAGGAACTGTTCAGTCAGCAGTCACGGTTCCCCAGCATTGTTAAGAGAACAGAGGCAACGCCTCTTGCCTAAACAGCTGTCTGGTTTCTCAGCTCCTGGGCATCACCTTGCCCAGATACGGGGAGGAAGCACAGACTGTGAGCTGTCACGTGCAAACCACAGCCTTCCCAAAGTTCACTGGCAAGCGGGATATTGGGTCACCTGGGGGCGAAGCCCTGGACATAAGCCCCTTCCTCTTCTGCAGGGCAAAGGGCTTGTCCTTCTACCCGAGGAGAAAGTTCTATGTCACTTTCTGGTGTGAACACAACTTGGTCTTCCTGCAGACTAACGCAGGCACTGCGCCATGATGCCGAGGACCTGTCCTGGAAAGCCCCCAGAGGCCTGAAATGTGGTCCATGCTTCATGTGGATGAGGTGATCAGACCCACGGTCTACAGCTGGACTGTTAGCAACTCCTAGCTCCAGGCACACATCGACCACGCGGTCGAAGGCACCTCGTCTGTGACTGTGACCACAGACAGAGAAGCAAAAGTATTCTGCAAGTGTTTCCCTTCCATGCAAGGCGCACGGTATCCCAGGGAAGATGTCGGCAGGGCAGCCCAATGAGATTGCAGACATCTCTAAGGCCCCAAGCCAAATGTCTTCCTCATCTCCGTGAGCCCTCGAATTGTTGCCTAGCAAAGGCACACAGGCATTCGTTGAGCAAATCATAATAAAAAGGGTTGGTGTTTGCCTTTGGGTTTCATGTAAGAAGGATCGAGGGAGAGAATCAGCAAGGGTTCTGGAATGCAGCCCACTGAAGAAGTTACTCTCAGCCTGTGAGGGCTGCGTCACAGTCAACTTCCGGTCACGTCAGTGCTCTCTTGCCGACGACTTCCAATTTCCCACTATTATTGTTGTTAGTAATAGTAGTATTCTTTATTGTTGAAGCAGCAGCTACCCTTTTTAGCCGATAACATGCACCAGACACCGAGTTAGGCCATGCATGTCCCTTTTTGCTAAACTTTACAGCAAGATTTGGTTACAGGAAGTCCCCTCCACACCAACGGGTGCCGTTCTGAGTGCGTTCCTAAGTCCAGTTTGTTGGTGAGTTCAACAAAGTTAGCCTCGGCACCCAACTAACACAGTCGGCCATACGGGACTGCACTTATAGGTTTATATAGTTTATACTTTTCGCACAAATCAAACACACACAATTAAACATTTGCAATCTTACAGCACAGTACCTTGAAAAGTGCAGCAGTGCAGTCCAGTCCAACAGCTGGTGCACGGGCGCTGACACAGTGAACGGGCAGGAAGAGGGATTGACTGGAGCGGGGGAGGCGGTGGAGACTGGAGCTCGGGCGTCGTCAGCAACAGGGACGGAGGGCCGGCTGCCGTGCCACCCACACCTGGCGTCGAGCACACAGGTGCCGGCTCCTTGCTGGGTTCAACCCTGTCTCCCCTCCTGGAAAACACACACTCGCATCTTTGGGAGTTCGCAGCTTGAAGGCTCGCATGGCAGGGACGTCTGGTCCTCCCCTGCTGCGTTGCCAGAACTGAGGTTCACATTGCCACAGGTGAGAGGATCCCGCCTCCGCGACAGCAGCAACGTCTTCACTGCGCCCGGAGGACCAATCGCCGTGGTTCAGACCTACTCCTTTGGTTTGCTGAGTCCTTGATGAGCGGACATAGGGGAGTGACGGCTTGGGAAATCCTTGAAAAGACCTGAGGCTTTGAAGAAAACAGCGTCTGGAACAAGAAAACAAATCAAGGAGCCTTTATCCTCTGCCATCTTGGGTGTTTTGCACAGCAGTTGCTGTGTGCTCTGGTTTTGAAGCTCCCCTGTCACTGGGGTGAATGCATCTTTGCGAGCCCCCCAATCACACCGGACAGCTCATATCCGTCTGCAGCAGAGGAGACCGGCTGAGAGGGGTCCTCACATGTAGGGGGCCGCAGTCGGGAGGCAGAGGGAAGATGTGTGCGACATGCAACCTTTGAATATGTAAATGCCACGGGCCATAAGCGCCTGGCCACAGCAGAGTCAGAGCAGACGTGGAATGAAGGAGAAGCAGTCCTTGGAGCCTCTGCTGGCTGACACAGCCGGGGAGGAAGGACCAGGGAGGAAGTGCGCCCAGGGAAGGGGGGGTGGAGGGTGTGGGCGGGGCGTAAGAGGTTCTGCTGTCCAGGGATGGAGAAATGAGGATATTCGGAGGGAATCTCTGCTGGGATCAAACGAGTCCCTCTCCTCCGGACCTTGGGGCCAGCCTCTGACTTTCTGGACTTGGCCTGGGCCCCCGCCACAGCCCCGCCTCCTGTCTGTGAGGGGGAGGCAGGAGACAGGACTTCTGAGGGCTGACCCGTGAGGCGTCTACCGTGGAGGGAGAAGTCCCTGGGCTCGCGAATGCAACCTGATTTTTTATTGTTTTGAGTTGGGGTCTCACCCTGTCGCCTAGGGTGGAGTGCAGTGGCACAATCACAGCTACCACAGCTGTGACCTTCTGGACTCAAGTGACCCTCTCGCCTCAGCCTCCCGAGTAGCTGGGACTACCGGTGGGCGCCACCACGCACAGCTAATGCTTTTACTTTTTGTAGAGATGAGGTCTCACCCTGTTGCCCAGACTGGTCTTGAACTCCTGGGCCCAAACATTCCTACTGCCTCAGCCTCCCAAAGTGCTGGGAGCCGCTGTGCCCGGCCTCAGAGATGCAACCTTTATGCCGAGAACACGCTTCCCCAAGCCCTGTGAGGCTGACCATCCCTTCCTGCAGAGTACCAGGCCCCTGGGACCGTCTCTCCCCTCCCCTCCGCCTCCCCTCCCCTCTCAGCCAGCAGCAAGGTCAAGCCCAGTCCCTGCCCCACACCCCCCAAAGAATACATTCTCATTTTCCAGAGAACGTTCGCTCTCTTCTCTGCTTTCTGGCCACACCCGCGACCTTGCTGAGCTCCGTGGATGTGCCCCGTGGCCACTCGGCACCGGCAGCTGCTCCCCTTCCGGCATGTTCCCCGGGAGCATGGCCCGCCCCAGGGAGCAGAGACCCCTGTGCCCCCTCCCAGCTGTCGGGAGACGCGAGGAGGCCTCGCTGTCGTGTTCGGTGAGGCCTCCCGGGCTGCCGAGGAAGCTCTCTCTTGCTGATCATGGAGGAAAACTTCATGCTGCCACCGTGGACACGTGGGACACAAGCCCTCTGGCCCGACAGGCCACGCAAGGCTCTCGCACACCGCCAGGGGCCGTGCCCTCCCCCGCCCCCTTTGCCTGCTGGCGAGTCTAGGTGCGAAATTTCTAACTGGTCTGAAAGGAGCTGAGCAGGGCAGAGGCTCTTGGGGGATTTCATCCACCTCTCCAGGACTTGACTGCCCGTGAACCCAAGAACTTGCAGGGAAGCCTGGAAGATTCTGGACTGTCACGTCCACATCCACACGCCCTGAAGCCAAGTATTAATACACCGTCAAGAGGAAGCTCAGAACGACCCATGCCCACAGCAACTTGATTCAAAAGGGGGGTTTTTAAAGCTAATTCCCCCAGTTCTCAGGTATGGACAGAATGGCGACGCCACCAAGCATGCAGAGTCAGCCTCTCTCAGAGAGACCGCGCCGATGTCCGCGTCTCAGGAGGGCTCAGGAGGCAGGAAGGGGCCGGCGCCTGCCACGGCTCCTGGCTCAGACTGTCCAGTCCGAATTTCAGCTTGCTGCTGGCTAACCCGGTGCCCTCAGGCCAACCCTCTGGCCCTCTGGCCAGGCTGGGCCTCAGCTTCTGCATCTGCAGTGCTGAAGAAGTGGCCGTCTCACCTGCCAGAGTCCTGCAAGCGTGAAGTGAGAGGTCTACAGAGGGCTCCAGTGCGTAGTGGGCACACAGTCGTGTGAGCTGGTATACAGTGTGCGCTTCCAAATAATGTCCCCTGGGAGCTCTGTCCATGGCAGCATTCCGGCCACCTTCCTGGAAGAGGTCACCCGGCTCCACGGAGGGAAGGACAGAGGACAGAGAAAGTCGAGGGGGCCGCAGGGGCCTCTCTGTATACCATGTTTGCTGCTAACAGACAACCCGAGGATATAAATGTGCAGGTGCGAGGCCAGGTGCAATGGCACACGCCTGTCATCCCAGCACTTTGGGAGGCTGAGGTGGGAGGATCGCTTGAGCCTGGGAGCTCAAGAACTGCCTGGGCAAACTAGCAAGACCTTGTCTCTTCATTTCTACAAAAAATCAGAGAATTAGCTGGCGTGGTGATGTGAGCCTGTCATCCCAGCTGCTCACGCGGGAGGCTGAGGCGGGAGGATCGCCTGGTCCCAAGAGGTCGAGGCTGTGGTGAGCCGAGATTGTGCCACTGAACTGCAGGCTGGGGGACAGAGTGAGACCCTGACAGCCACAACAGCAAAGTCCAAGTGCAGAATATGTGGCGGGTGGAGCCTGGGTGAGCACTCGGGGTGGAGCCCGGCCGGGCCCAGTGGCGGAGGCCGCCCCCCGCGCCCCGGCCTGGGAGCTGGGCCATCTCCACAGAAGCAAAGACCCCGGGGGACCCTGAGGTGCGAGCACCTGGGCTCGTAAAGGCTGGCTCCAGCCGCATGCAGCGGGGTCTTCGCCGCCAGGTAGCAGGTGGGAAAGCCGGGCCTGGAGCCTCTGCCGAGCCCTCGCGGGCGCCCTGCCCACCCCGCCACCACCCACGGCTGGGCCCTCGGGCGGAGCTGGCAGGAGGGCGCTTTCCTGGAAAACGCTGACGGCCCAGAAGACGTCGTCCTCAGCCGCCCAAGCGCCGAAGCTCGGGTCCCAGGAGAGAAGGCCGAATCCGAGGCGGCTGAGAGCGGGCCAGGAACCGAACAGCCCAAGCACAGCAGGGGACGGGTCGACAGAAGCCACATGCGCCAGCTCCCAGGGGCGCGGGTGAGGCCCCGCGGCCCCACAGCCGGACCCCGGGGGTCGACTGCGCCCACCCCTGCTCCCGGAGGGAGAGCTGACCCCACCCTGGCGTCCCAGAGGGAGGACTGACCCCACCCCAGGCCCAGAGGGAGGCCTGACCCCTTCTCCTCATCCCAGAAGGAGGCCTGACCCCACCCCTGGGTCCTAGCAGGAGGACTCGCCCCACCCCGGTCCTCGGAGGAGGACTGACCCCGCTCCCGACTCCCAGGAGGGGGACTGACCCGTGCCATCAGCTGGCGAACTCGTGGTGACTTCTGCCCCATGTACTTCACGTGAAGGAGCACGGACCTGAAAGGGAGTCACTGAAAAGGCTTTGGAGGCAAACACTGCTGGATCCCGGCCGCTGTTCTCTGAGGGAGACAGTGGGGGGCTGTCCTCTCCCTCACCCCCCGCGCCGTGAGTTTTCGTGTCCGCTGTTGGTGGTGCCTGTGGAGAGGGTTCCTGGGGCGGACGGCTGCTCAGGCCTGGGCAGCCGCGGTCTGCAGCCCAGGACTTGTCACCCGACCACGGTCCACGCCCAGGGGAGGAAGGGGCGGCTGGCCGCTCTTCTCCCGTGGAGGCCCCCCGCTGGCCGGGCGCTCACAGTGGCCGGGTTCTCCTGTGGAGACACCATCTCTCGAGCAGCGTGGTCTCTGTGTCCACGCCCCCGGGCTTCAAGGAGACCCATGCTAGCAGCCAGCCAGCCACGTGCTGCTCTGCCCTTGGAGAAAACACCAAGCATCACAATCTCTGAGACCCAACATGAACGGATGCCTTGTTGTAAACGACATACGATGGCGGACACTTAAAACACAGAACACGTTGCACTTGGGTGGCTTGAAGTCTGGGGCACCAGGAGTGCGCACCTGCAGCCACAAGGCATCCGCAGGTCCCAGCGAGCAACCGCCCCTCAGGAAGAGTTGAACTTTAAGGCTGGCCTCAGCACCCGTGCCAGCTCTGGCTCGCAGCAGCGGGTCCTGGGTGTTCAAGTAGCCCCTTGGGTGAAGGGTCTCCTATTATTATCGTTTTCTGAGTTGGAGTCTCACTCTGTCGCCCAGACTGGAGCGCAGCGGCCGCTCCCGGCCACCGC